GTTCCACCAGGTTCTGCAAGGGCTGCGGGGTGGTTCGGGGTGGTTTGAGGTAAGGTTTCACGAGGGTTCTACGAGTTCCACCAGGTTCTGCGAGGGCTGCGGGGTGGTCCGGGGTGGTTTGAGGAAAGGGTTCCACCAGGTTCTGCGAGGGCTCCGGGGTGGTTTGAGGTAAGGTTCCAGGGTTCTACCAGGGTTCCACCAGGTTGAGGTAAGGTTCCACAAGGGCTCCACCAGGTTCTGTGAGGGCGGGGTGGTCTGGGGTGGTCCGGGGTGGTTTGAGGTAAGGTTCCACGAGGGTTCCACCAACCAAGGGTTCCACCACCAGGGTTTTGCCAGGTTCTGGCGGGGTGGTTCGGGGTAGGGTTCCACCAGAGTTCCACCAGGTTCTGCGGGGTGGTCCGGGGTGGTTGAGGTCAGGTTCCACGAGAGGTTCTGCAAGGGCTGCGGGGTGGTCGGTGTGGAGCAGGTAAGGTTCCACGAGGGTTCCACCAGGTTCCACAAGGTTTCCACCAGGGTTCCACAAGGGCTGCGGGGTCAACGACAGTTTTTCAGGCGGGGTGGTCCGGGTGGTTGAGGTAAGGTAGGGCTGCGGGGTGGTCTGGGTGGGTTGAGGTAGGTTCCACGAGGGTTCCACAACGGTTTGACCAGGGTTCCAGCAGGTTCTGCGAGGGCGGGGTGGTCGAGGTAAGGTTCCGCCAGGGTTCCGAGGGGCGGGGTGGTTTGAGGTCGAGGGTCCCACCAAGGTTCCACCACCAGGGTTTTTGGGGTGGTCGGGGTGGTTCCACGAGGGTCGACCACAGTATTCTGCAAGGTGAGGTTTTACGAGGGTCCGGTAGAGTTCCATGACAGTACGGGCTGCGGGATGGTCCGGCCCTGAGGTCCACAAATGAGGGCTCAGAAGATCACTTTGCTCATGAGCGGAACACTACCCAAAGCCGACCAAGTAATACTCAGTCATGCCAAGCTTTTACTCTGCTACACAGTGAGTTTGCCACAAAGCCAGCGCGTTGCCTGAGCAAGTGAGCAAGTGACAGGCTGAAAACCATTGATTTCGGTTTTGCTTAGTCAAGGGCTCCACGAGGCTGCAAGGGCTGCAGAATAAAATTCCAAAAGCGTTCCACGAGGTTTCCACCAGGTTCTGCAAAAGCTATGGGGCTCCAACAAAGTTTCACGCTGAGCTCCACGAGGGTTCCACAAGAACGGCTTGCGAGGTTCACCGGGCCCAGTCGGGCAAGTCGGGGCCCGATTGCACCGTCGGGGCCCGACCGGGCTCCGATTGCGCCGTCGGGCCCCGATCGGGCCCCATCAACTACCAAGCTGGCATCGCCTAGTTTTGCTAGATACAGTTGTAAGGCCGCATCCTAACGAAAACCGGCGTTCGGCTATAATATGGGTGGCTGGGGTTGGTGGGAGCCCGCTTGCGCCGCGGGACCATCGGGCTCTGCTCGGGCCCCAATTGCACCGTCGGGCCCCGATTGCGCCGGCCCATCGGGCCCCGATCGGGCCGTCGCGCCCCGATTTGCGCTGTCACTGTAAGCTTTGCTTCATAAAGTTGCAAGGCGGCATCCTCAGCAAAACCGGCGGTGAGGTGGGTCCCGGGGCGGGTGTGGTGCTGTTGGGGATATCGCCTGAGCTTATTTCCTCAGGGTCTCAGCCCAGATAGGCTCCAGGGTGGTCCGGGGCGGGTCTGAGGTTCCACGTTCCACCAGGTTCCACCAAAGGGTTTCACCAGAGTTCACCACTACTGGAAATATGTTTGTTTTTTCCAAAAGGCTTAAGCAAATGGACGGGAAGGTTGCATCCCATGGTTCATCGACTCTTGATTGCTACCAAACCATTTGGCTTTCCCCAACAGAATACGCATGGACATGCATTGTTCTTGGATGAAGGACCAGCAGAATATGTTATCATCATGTATGGGATTCCAAAACCTGTTTTTCAAACATGTGTCGTGTACTGTGGTGGCATGGTATCACCTTAAAAGCCCGGCATGTCATGGCGCGCCCGTTTCCAAAAAGAGTCATACGGTTTGCCAGCGCTGCAAGCCTCAGGAGGGAGCGCACGGCGGCATCCGCACCATTGTCACATTGGAGGAGCGCTTGTCAGTGGTAGAATGAGCCGTTGAACTAGTTTCAAGCAGTGTGTCGGACTTGCTGAGAGCTCGCTGAAATCTGCGAATCATGACCTTGGACTTTGTAACGAGCTGGGATTCAAATCCTGTATATCACGAAAGCTAGCTTTAGCTAGCTGAAGTTTTCTCCTTGCGTAAGCAAGGTAAGGGGCTCAAATGCCGAAAGATTGATTTTTTCAATTATTTGAGACGAAAAGATTGAAAAACATCAATTATTTAGACCCCCCCCCCTCCCCCCCCCCCCCGGTCTCAGGCTCGATTCCTCCCTGGTCCATCCCCCCCCCCGGGCAGTGGCTCAGTGTTCAGCAGTCTCGGTTTGCCCGTTTTGGACTTGGTGCTACGAACTTTTACATGTTCCACCGATTCAGCTTGTTCATTTGAGATTTCAGTCTTCTCAATAAACCACCTCGCAAGAATCTTTGCACACGCAGCATGCAGAACCCAGAGGTGCTTTAAGACAGCTTCTGACGCCTCTCGTTGTTTTCATTTTTCACCATGTGCGTTTGCGTGTCGCATCCTACGAATCTTGCCGGGCCTCTCGTTGTACACAAGCTACCCATGAATCCACTCTGTCACCGACCCATCTCATGCAACAACTGCTAGCTTTCGTTCACCCGCTCCTCAAGTGTATAAACCAACACCTCAAAGAAGGGTTCTCCTCTTCCGTCAAAATTACAACTGATCTTCCATCAAATGGCTGTGTCTTTTTCTGTTTTTTTGGGGGGGAACCTTCTTCTTCTTCCAAGTTGCCGGGGAGGAGGGACCCGTAAAATTGTGGTTCTCCGTTTCGTGTCCCTTTATAATCTCCCCAAGAAATGGAGGGCTGGGCGCTCGCCCAGGATGGCGCGTGCCGAGCCTTCGGCGAGGCTCGTAGCTGTCGGGTTGAGGGTACCCTGCAGGTGTTTTGACGGGAAACCCAAAAGGAAAGCCATCATACTGTGGATGATTGCGAAATCCATTTCACACCACCTAGCAAACCCTGTAATGATGATTCCCCTGTAAATACCACCAAACAATGGTTTCAACCATGGTTTCAAAGTGGTGCGAATCGATTTCGTCCATCCACAGTAGGGTTCCCCTGTGTTGATGCATACCCATATTTCCAAAGTGGCCCTTCGAAGGTCGGTGATGCCACCAAGGCCTCCAGCCTTCAATGGTAGCATTGCCATTTAGTTCATCCCACAAGTTCTTCTGGTCGCAGGACTTTTGCCGATGTCAAAACACGGCCGCAATTGGAAGATCAGTTCAAGGGGTGTTGCTGAAGGGTAGTACGTTTTTAGCGTGTCCAACATGAAGTGTGTTACCTTAAACGTGCCGTTATACGAATTGACAACCGTCCGTTGCCGGGCTGGGAATCACTCCGTCTTGCCAGGCAATTGTGGCGTCACTCTTGGCACAGGAGGAACAGAAGGCCGGCGGTTTGACCGGCACGGCTGAAACCGACCACTGCTTCGAGCAGAGGTCGACTCCTGGATCTCTTCGATGAAAGACCGAAGCCTGCGCGGCCTGGTGAATGAGCTGAGCGAAAGGCATGGCAAAAAAAGCCGTCCTGGGGGTGTCGGTTTTTTTTGGGGGTTGGGGCCCCCAAATCGAAATGGTGGGTGCCCTTTTAGGGTTCCTTTAAGCCAGCCCCCAAAAAGGATACCCACAAGAAAACGACAGACCCAGCAAACCTGCACGTCAGGATGTCACCATGGCCAAAGTGTCACCATGGCGTGGACGCGCAGGTTTTTCGAGATGCAGAAGCTACTCGCCGAGAGCAAGAAGCAGCTCGAGGATCCGGGTGGGTAGGTTCCTTACCCCAAAACCACCAAAGTATGGATGGGCTTTAGCATGGGATATCACGTTCCTTACACCAAAACAGCCGAATTATGATGGGGGTTAGCATGGGATATCCAATGATGCCAATGGTCCATCCTCCGAACTCGCCAGGAGAAGAGGAGATCCCGAGGCCTTACCCTCTTCAACCTTCAGAAAGACTGCACGGAGAAGGCGGGGAACCTGCGTAAAGGCTGGGAGAGTTTGGCGCTGTGTGCATCATGAGCTGCTTTTCTTGCTGGTGCGATAGGTAGGGAATGAGGGAATGAACCCAGGGGTGCCCTTAAAGGCAACCACAAGGGATGGTTTATAGTAAGTTTGCTTGCTCCGTGTCTGACCTGTCAGGATCTTGACGCAGCATATCGGCGCCTGGCTCGCTCCATGCACCCCGACAAGAATGGTGGCACAGAGGCAGGTTGCTTGGCCTGGCTTCGGCAGGTTCCATGGAAGTGTGCGAGGGCGCGCGACGAGCCGTTGCTCTTTGGCAATAGCTCTCAAATCAAGCCAGTTACTTGGAGATCAAAAGGCACTAGTGACAGGAAGGAGAATTCCTCGCCGCCCAAATGGGTGTGGCTTAAAATTCAAGAGCTAGGGTTACGCAGGTTTTAGTCTTTGGTTCCATTTGCCAAGGTGCCATTGTGGGCTCCATTTATTTGAGCCACAGCCAAATGTTTTACCAGCGCAACTCCGAGTCCTTGTCTCGCCGCATGTCCGCAGGAGGCCAAAGAACAGTTTCAGCTCATGAGGGCCAGCTATGAGGTGCAAACTCGGTGAGTGGTCCACGCATGTTGAACCAAAGCCACATGTCCCAAGTGAGACTGCTGGTCTCTAAAGGGCTTTGCGAGGCATATCCAAGCATTGTTGAGCTCTCTTTCTTACTTTTGACACGCACCATCCCTGAGCTGTAGGAATTGAAGGAGCAACTTGGTCAGTGCCAGAGTCCTGTGCGGCAAGAGGCCGAGCCGAGCCGTTGACTTTTCTTGCGACGGCTGAGACGTGTCGCGTGAGCGAGGCGTCGGAGCCGCAAGAGGAGCCCAAGCCACGGGAAGAGCAGGAGGCAAAAGCGCCGGAGCATAGGTGTCCTTTTTGGTTGGTTTGACTACAAAATAGAGGGCGATTCCTGGTTTAGATGGGATTTATTTCATTTACCAGGGAAACCCTATTTTTCCAAAAGGCCACCTATGAGCAGGAGCCGCAGCAGGAAGAGCCGGAGGAGCCTCCAGCGGAGGAGCCTCCAGCGGAGGAGCCGCCACAGAGCGACGACACCGAAGCCGCGGAAGCAAGTTCGACCAAGCCGAGTCAGCAGGATGCCGAGGCAAGCGCCTGGTTTGCCTGACCACAAAGACAGCCGGAGCCTTGCAAGGGGCAGGTTGGTTTGCACATATGATAAAGGTTCGAGGAAGATTGGCGATCTATCCTTTGACTTGAGTAAGTAGCACGGATGTAAAGATGTTCTCCAAGATCAGCTATGTCCGGCCAGGCGACTCGTGACGTTGAGCCAGGCACGGGCGGCAGAGCATAGTGAACAATGAGGAGGCAACTCAACGTCAAATGAGCAGAGACCCTTGAATCATAGAACCTGCGTGGTTACGTCGTTTTTGCCACAAGGTCTCCCTTTGTCAGGAGGCCCTTGGACACTGCTCTTTGTGCAGTTTCGATGCCAACCCCTTTGCATCCCTGGAGTTTGAGTGCAACACTTCGTGAGGACCACCGGGCAAAGAGGCCTGTCCCGGGAGCGTCGGTCTGGCTAGTGCTTAGCGTGAGACATGTGCGCGCGCAACATGGAATCTCGTTTGGACAGTTCACCATCACCCATAGAGCGAGGCACCGGGAGACGTTGTTTTGAAATGGTTGTCCCGGTGTTGGTGGTAGCATTGCTCAAAATGTGTTTGTGTGTGTGTGTGTGTGTTTGCTGCAGATGATTCAGATACTGAGGCTACAATCGACCAACCCAAAGGAGCCAGACAACACATACACACGGAATGTTCAGGACATGGCTCATGTTCCGTTGATGATGCGTTTGAGGGTTTTGTCAAAAGAGGTTTCGTGGCAGACTCTGTGTGTTTGTCTGTGGTGAGGCGGTCTTCTTCTGTCGATCCAAAGACGTGGGCACGCTGCGCGGGGCCATCCATAAGATCCTTGGGCAGGCGCGGATGCACAACTCAAGAGATCCGTATCTCAGCATTGAGTCGAGGCTTGGCACCTATCCGTAAGACTGTTTGCTGGGTCCACTGACACTCCATGATGTTATGTCGGGGTGAAAAGGGCAATTTGATGTTTGCCATGACCCTATTATTTTGGGTAATGACCCCATTCTTAAAGGGTCATGGAGACTCCAGGTACTCGTAGATCCTTACCTTGGCTTTGGGCACCGTACTCTCCCTTGTGTTTTGCTCATGACTCACCATCCAGCACGATCGCCTGTTTGCAGGCCTGACCCTCGCTGTTGTTGGCTTGTTTGTTAGTTGTTGTTTTTTTCTTGGTTCTGTTCATTTTTAGCGGGGGCTGCAAAAAGAGTCATGGGCCCACAAGGTGAACCTCTTGTTTCTGAGTCCTTTGGGCAGAGCGTGATTTTAAGAAAGGGACTCTTTGGTGGACATCAGCCACGGCTGAGGTGTTAGGTTTTCTATTGAAAGTCGGTACAGATTTCCGCCCTTAGTTCTTTGGTGCCTCAGTTTCTTGTTTGAAAGCTCGAACGCATCTGGAACAACTTGTTTGCGCCATGAAACTGGATGTTCACTTGCCCAGTGGAGATGGTTGCTCCGTAGAGGTCTCACCAGAGATGCCGGTCAGCGAGATGAAGGCTGCAGCGCAGCAGCATTTCCGGCGCCGCTTGCAGCTCACTGTGAAAGGCCAGCAGGTCGGTTTGACAGCCACGCTGCGCGAGATCGGCTGCGAGATGGAGAGGCCGTTGCTGCGGTTGTGCAGCTTGGCAAGCTGGCTGCCACTGATGCTGCTTTCGCTTGGCATGGCCACGGGGACGAGGTTGTGACCTGGGGTAATTCGGAATGGGGCGGAGACAGCAGCCAGGTGCAAGAGCAGCTCAGGAACGTCCAGCACATCCAAGCAACTATTGCTGCTGTTGCTGCCATTCCTGGATCCGGGGCTGTCGTTACCTGGGGTGCTCCAGGCTTTGGCGGAGACAGAACCCAGCTGCAAGATCAGCTGAGGAACGTCAAGTACATCCAAGCGACTAGCCGTGCTTTTGCTGTCGTTCTTCAATCTGGGGCTGTTGTGACCTGGGGTGAGCCGGAATGTAGCGGAGACAGCAGCCAGGTGCAAGAGCAGCTCAGGAACGTTCATTGCGTCCAAGCAACTATTGCTGCTTTTGCTGCCATTCTTGAATCTGGGGTTGTTGTGACCTGGGGTGCTCCAGGATAAGGCGGCGACAGTAGTCAGGTACTAGAACAGCTCAGGAACGTCCAGCATATCCAAGCAACTGGCCATGGTGCTTTTGCAGCCATTCTTGAATCTGGAGCTGTTGTGAGCTGGGGTGCTGCATTCTCCGGCGGAGACAGCAGCCAGGTGCAAGAGCAGCTCAGGAGCATCCAGCACATCCGAGCGACTAGCAGTGCTTTTGCTGCCATCCTTGAATCTGGGGCTGTTGTGACCTGGGGCGATCCAGAATGTGGCGGAGACAGCAACCAGGTGCAAGAGCAGCTCAGGAACGTTCAGCACATCCAAGCAACTCAGGGCGCTTTTGCTGCCATTCTTGAAGCCGGGGCTGTTGTGACTTGGGGTGATCCAGAATATGAGGAGACAGCAGCCAGGTCCAAGAGCAGCTGAGGAATGTACACTGCATTCAAGCAACTGGCTGCGCTTTTGCTGCCATTCTTGCATCTGGCGCTGTTGTGACCTGGGGTGATCCAGAATGTGGCGGAGACAGCAGCCAGGTGCAAGAGCAGCTGAGCTTGTATTCTGACAGCACTATTCTTGGTTGCAAGAAGCGTGCCGAAAGAAGAGAGCAACAGGTGAACTCCACACTTGGGGTCGGCGTCTCTGTCTTTTTTTGGGGCACCATTTTCATCTTGGGCTACCTCATTTCAGGTCGACTTCCTTCACCCATGTTTGGGGACGTCTGCGACCAGGGTTCATGCGTTCAGCCGGGCTTGAGGGAGGCTTGGAAATCTCGCGACAAATGCCTTGGATGCCTTGACTCTCGTCGAAAAAACGTAGGTTTGAAGTTGACCAACTCGCTCTTAGGTCTCCGCTCCCTTTCAAAGAGCCAGGTACCATGGTGCCATGGGGTACCCAAAAAGAAATACCGGCATCCTCTCGACTTCTCGGCTACCTGATACTGTAAACAGCTGAAGATTGCGTGCTCACCTCGCTATGCCTTTGTGTCTTTGTGTGCGCCGTTGCAGGCGATGATTTCGCCCATGTCCCTTTAACTTCCCTTAGCAAGCCGAAACATCGACGCCAAGTCGCCCAGAAAAAACAAGATCGAAGCGAGCTGTTCTCAGAGCATCAAACAGTTCATGGGAGGGGCATGATTGCACATCGCAGATGAAAGTCCTCCAGCAGAATATCGACATAGTGGCACGGGATCTGGCAGGACTGATGGGTGGCCGAGCCTCAGCACAGTTTGGACTGCGTTTATGGGATAATAGCATTGGGCATCAAGCATTCAGTAAGGGCTTAGACAACCACTATGAGCATGTTTATCCAGGGAACCACGACTAAGACACAGAAAGAGAGAGAGGGAGAGAGAGAGAGAGAGAGAGGGAGAGAGACAGAGAGAGACAGAGAGAGAGAGAGAGAGAGAGAGAGCGAGAGAGGGAGTTATGCCCATCACAGGCTAGACCATCAGTGGTTCAGTCTCGCGCAGGCGTTGAAGTCCACTGAGTCGCAGTTGGTTGGGAAGGAAGTGTGGAAATCGTCGGAATAGCGTGTCAAACACACGTGGAATCGACGCCTGCAGGTCCTTTTGTACAACAATTCACCGGTCGCGCAAAATGCGCTTGCGCCCAATGGGAATTTGCCTTTTGGCAGCTAGCTGTGTGTTTCTGTGGCCGGAAGTGCCTGCGCACACGGGATCTTGGAGTCTCGATTGCCAGGTCTCTAAAGATTCATGAAGCGAGAGTCAAAGCGGTGCCGCTGATGGACCAGACAGCACTGCACCAAATGAACTCCTGAGATAACTCGTGGCAGGGTTCCACTTTTTCACTACCCCAAGATGGACTTAAACCCAGGGGTTCTCCTTGGGGGGAAATGAGACAACCCCTGCAGTGAGTTTAACATGACGTCTCTCTGATGGATAAATAATCCCATAGACCACATGGCTGAGCCCCTAGAATGCACTGAGGATTCCGTCACGCCTGATCTTTCGCTGTATGGTTCGGCAACAATTACCAAAGGACAGATGAATGTCCCTTCGCGCTCTCCTGCTGTTTTGCTCCTGAGGCAAGCTCAACCACCCCGCCCGTCACCCAAGATCACACTTCGAGATTATGTGACCATCGTGCTCATGGCATTCTGATGTGTGCGTGTGTGTGTGTGTGTCCCTGCGTCGTTCACCCATTCCTCTTAGCTTTGCCTTTTGCTGCTGACGGATTGACCCATAGATCGGTGGATCAAACAGCGATAAACTTTAGGCGCTCAGTTCGAGCTGCTCAAGTTTGAGGCGCGTCCAGGCAATGCATATAGCGGTATCCGCTCGACAGCCTCAACTGTTTGACAGGAAAGGCTGTTATCCATCAAACCATGCAGCAGATGGTCGTCTTCTTTACGAGAGCCATGTTGAGTTCACCACTTGACTGTGCGACGAAGGCATTGCAAGCATTCGGCTGTCTGCTCCCGTCGCCAGGAACTCACTGATGTTGGAGAGCATTCTGCGGTCCAAAACGTGCGAACAGAGAGTGTTTGCAGCTGGCATCGGCCGCTGGTGCATGAACTGAGTTGAGCCACTGACATGCGCGCAACTCCATTTTCTGAAACCATTAGCAAAGCATAGAACTATCAGCAGAGGTTGTGACGGGTGGTTCTACGTTCCATCGGTCAACACGTCACACGAGTGCACGTGGTCCGGACGCTAGTCGAAGATTCACCTGACAGACACAGCATCAAGCAGATTCGCAGAAGCTAGGGCAACAGACGCCACGCCAGCACTTACAATGGAGCAAGCTGCTGTGGGCTATGGCGCAGGCGTGGCACCTGTCCATGAGTGTCACTGGCTGTTGTAGTATGCTGGGTCTGGCAAAAGAGCAGAGGAATGCCCCAACGTGGTTCCAAGTGAAGTGTGAGTTTTAATAGGGAACCTTTAAAAAAACAATGATTGGACATGAACTCGGGCCGAATGCCGATATTCTGAGGGGGCCCGATTAAAGTTCATACACAAGTGTCTCCCCAAGCCCCAGAATCACGCGCAAGCGGCAGATGGGTTGTAAATAGCACGGCATGGTTCTTAGGTACGATCCTATGCATGGAATTGTGGAATGAGACAAGGGGGAACAAGCACCTGACGGCATGAATCACCTACATCCCCTTCGGTTTGTAGATGTCTTTGGGTTTAGTGGGGTTTCCATGCCCACAAAAGGATCACAAGAGTCAGATCTTGCACAGCGAGCCTCGCATTTCGTAGGGTTCTCGGGTCTAATCGCCCGCCAGCCTGTTTGCCGCAGCCATGACAGGGTGAGGCAATTCTAAGTTCCTGGTTGTGTTCCAGAGGGTGTGTCTTTTAGGGATCCCCAAAAAAGTGGCTGGTGTTCTTTGTGGTGTCCCTTTACCCCAGCAAAAAAAAAAACGGGTACCCTCCCAAAAAAAGGGAGAGCACCCATACGAGCTTTGTGAGAAATGATGCCCATCGTTTCTATAAAGATCGGTAGGCATCACTGACGAGCCTTGAGGCTGATGATGAGTTGGATGAAGCCACGCCTGCAGACAGGCGCAGAGCTGATGGGCAATCCATTCAAATCTCAACCTTAAAAACCAGGTTCTCTTCAAACAGAACAGAAGTTCAGGCTGCAAAGGTCAGCCACTGGCTGGTAGCTTGGCTGAGCTGGTAATTCTTGCCACTGATTGCAGACTCAATCTACGAAAGCAAAGGTGACTCACACCAACAGCCTCCAATTCAGCAACTGCGCTCTCTCTCCCTCTCTCTCTCTCTCTCTCTCTCTTCCTTTTTGAGCAAACTGGAGAACCACTGATCAACCACGGGTCGCTGCGTTCGCAAGTTCGGCATGGTCTTTCTGGAAATAGCACGAGGCACTTCAGTACAAGTCAGCTTGGAATGATCAGAAAGCTGGCTATCCATCCATACTTTATGATTGAGGCAGGCTGGTTCACTGTCATCTTACTGGGCTGGTTCGCATCGTACAGGGCAAGATTCAAGATGACCGTGGCTTGTTTCGTAAAGTTTGGGGGACAAGTGTTGCTTGACGTGCTGGAAACCTCCATTCTGGGACCTACCCTGAGATGCCTTGCGCACCTGCGACAGGCCAGAAGATACCACCGAGCCTGCGACTTAGCCACCACTCAACTGGATACACAGATTAGCATGGACCCCAACAAGCCATCCTAGAAGCATCTCCTTTTGGAGGAACCCCCTTTTTGGGGGGTTCCATGTGAGTTTGTAGGGGAGTATGTGTCTTTGGGCACCTCGTGAAGATCATTGAGCCTCATATGCAAAGCTGATTTGAGAGAGCAACTTCTCGTGTTTGCGTGGTGGTACTTGCAAGCGTCACTCCTTAGAGGCAGTGGCTAGTTGTGGCTATAATATCGTAGTGCTCTCGAGACGCTCAGTCAATCTGCAACAGGACTAGGTGTGCCCCGAACTTGCCTTTTCGGGCTGGCGTGGTGTCATTCTGTTGGCTGAACCCCCATTCCAACCACTCGAGCGAAAGCCGGGGCGGCATGAAGATCTGCGGAAGTGTCAGGCGGCGGAGATGTAGAGAGCAAGTTTCCTTCCCAAAAGCTGCAGGCCGATCCGTTTTTCCGTGTCCGGCTGGTTGAAATTTTAATAGGCAGCCTAAGAGGAGCTCCGATGAAGCAGTCTCCAATCTCAAGCTCATTTGGGGCACATGCGCATAGGGGTTCCGTGTTGCTCTTTCGTGAACTCGCGCTCGTGAACTCACGAGGTCCCAGGGTCCCAGGCGAGACATTGGAACTCCTTTTCGCGGCTTAGGCCCTGCAACGTTTGTGGTGGGCCAACGGTTCTTTGCTGCTCTGGCTGCGAGGTGCGACTGAGAGGTCGTGTTGGCTAGCGGCTTTCAACTTTCTACTGTGTGTGTGTGTGTGTGTGTGTGTGTGTGTGTGTGTGTGTGTGTGTGTGTGTGTGTGTGTGTGTGTGTGTGTGTGTGTGTGTGTGTGTGTGTGTGTGTGTGTGTGTGTGTGTGTGTGTGTGTGTGTGTGTGTGTGTGTGTGTGTGTGTGTGTGTGTGTGTGTGTGTGTGTGTGTGTGTGTGTGTGTGTGTGTGTGTGTGTGTGTGTGTGTGTGTGTGTGTGTGTGTGTGTGTGTGTGTGTGTGTGTGTGTGTGTGTGTGTGTGTGTGTGTGTGTGTGTGTGTGTGTGTGTGTGTGTGTGTGTGTGTGTGTGTGTGTGTGTGTGTGTGTGTGTGTGTGTGTGTGTGTGTGTGTGTGTGTGTGTGTGTGTGTGTGTGTGTGTGTGTGTGTGTGTGTGTGTGTGTGTGTGTGTGTGTGTGTGTGTGTGTGTGTGTGTGTGTGTGTGTGTGTGTGTGTGTGTGTGTGTGTGTGTGTGTGTGTGTGTGTGTGTGTGTGTGTGTGTGTGTGTGTGTGTGTGTGTGTGTGTGTGTGTGTGTGTGTGTGTGTGTGTGTGTGTGTGTGTGTGTGTGTGTGTGTGTGTGTGTGTGTGTGTGTGTGTGTGTGTGTGTGTGTGTGTGTGTGTGTGTGTGTGTGTGTGTGTGTGTGTGTGTGTGTGTGTGTGTGTGTGTGTGTGTGTGTGTGTGTGTGTGTGTGTGTGTGTGTGTGTGTGTGTGTGTGTGTGTGTGTGTGTGTGTGTGTGTGTGTGTGTGTGTGTGTGTGTGTGTGTGTGTGTGTGTGTGTGTGTGTGTGTGTGTGTGTGTGTGTGTGTGTGTGTGTGTGTGTGTGTGTGTGTGTGTGTGTGTGTGTGTGTGTGTGTGTGTGTGTGTGTGTGTGTGTGTGTGTGTGTGTGTGTGTGTGTGTGTGTGTGTGTGTGTGTGTGTGTGTGTGTGTGTGTGTGTGTGTGTGTGTGTGTGTGTGTGTGTGTGTGTGTGTGTGTGTGTGTGTGTGTGTGTGTGTGTGTGTGTGTGTGTGTGTGTGTGTGTGTGTGTGTGTGTGTGTGTGTGTGTGTGTGTGTGTGTGTGTGTGTGTGTGTGTGTGTGTGTGTGTGTGTGTGTGTGTGTGTGTGTGTGTGTGTGTGTGTGTGTGTGTGTGTGTGTGTGTGTGTGTGTGTGTGTGTGTGTGTGTGTGTGTGTGTGTGTGTGTGTGTGTGTGTGTGTGTGTGTGTGTGTGTGTGTGTGTGACCCCCCAACACGGATTCCTGCTTTCCTTTTGGTTTCCCTTTAACACCACAAACTGGCGTACCGACGCCAAAGAACAGACGAGCCCGTGTTTTCGCCGATTTCCCCGCAAAAGGCGGCGGGAATGCCAGCAGAGGGTCGTAGCAAACAGCTTCAGCTTTTAAAGGTCGCGCCTAATCCCCGCAGGGCCTCGAGCGGATGTCAAAAAGTAGTAAAAGTCTTCATTTTCCGAAGGTCGGCGCGGCGAGAGGGCCAAAGTTTGGCAGACTATTTTAATTTAAGTTGCAGATGCGAGTCGTTTGGCACAAGTCTTCATGCGCAACGTCACGTGCAATCTCTCTGAACAATCTCTACGTCGCATCGGTGCAATCTCTCTGGCGACCTCTTGGTGACATCCCTTTGTGAAATCTCTTGGGCGATTCTAGCAGCAAAGCCCTGTGCCGTGTTTTTGAGACAACATTGGGCTGCAGAAAGTTGAACGCTTCATCGGCAAATCAACTTGTGACATTCTTGTAGTATTGAGCCACGGGCATTGGTGGCTCACAGCCATCCATTTGACCCGCTAGAAGTTAAGCTTTTATCAGGGGATCCCAGGACAGCTCAGCATTGGTTCTGCTTTCTTGGCGCAGGATGTCTTCTACTGCTCTGTGAGCTGTCAGCAGAAGGAATCCGGGAATTGGGTTGTCGATGAGTACGCAGGTGGTGTAGCGAGCACGCCCCGTTTTTGCAGCCAAACAGCGCTGCGATGAAGATTTGTCATGTGGCATGGGCCGAGCCCGTCTTCTCCCAGCTTCAGTTGCCAAAACGGTTGAGGGGTGTGGCTCAAAATTAAAGGATCGGAGGGGCACACCGCGGGAATTTTGGGGCCCAGGTTTCCACTCACCGATCGGGCAGCCCAGCTTGGAGTTTTCCGTTTTTTGAGTTCGCCACGGCCAGATCTCATGCCAGGATTCGCCCGGTGAGTCCGGTGAGTTGGGATAAGTGTGAATGAGTCGGCACTCATGGTGTATGCCGGCGAATGGCCAATGCGCACACGAGCCTGGCTCGGAAATTCAAGGTGGTTTTTTACGTCACTGAACTCCAAGGCAACTAAAAAAGAACAGGAGGGAAAAAAAGGATGGCACTGGTTTAGATGGGTTGTATGCCCCATTGACAAGGGAAACATATCGACATATTGATTTGGCTGTGGATCAAAACCAACGGTACCATTTTGGGGTAGGTGAATTCACGTGAATTCACCACCCATTTTGGAACCTATTTCAGTGGTTGGATTGGTTGATGTTCACTGGGGGCTAACCGATTTGGATTTTGAGCCATGGCCATTTATCAAGAGGCCACCTATGGCAGGGTTGTGGGATCAAGGGGTTCCAGCCCACTTCTGTGATACAAGTTGGAATCTCCCCCGTTATGGAGGTTAGTGTTTGGCAAGCCCTTGTTGTATCACAGAAGTGGATTCCATTTCCCACAGCGACCTATGGTTGCCGTGATGGGAATGACTCCAACGCATCGATCACAGGATTGGGCGACCCACAGGCTGGCATGCCACAAGCGCTCTGACCTGGCCGCGCAACAGGTCGGGTCGCATGAAATGGGTGTGGCAATCAAAATTCAAGAGCTAGGGGTATGCAGGTGTTCGTCTTTGGTTCCAAATACCCTGCCATTTGGGTACATGTTATTGAGCCACAGCCAAATGGGGGGTTGGTCAAAATTCCGCTCATCCACAAATGGGGGTTGAAGTCAAGGTCCCAAATGACCATGGGCTAGCTTTTCCCTTGTGGAAAGTCAATCACGTTTTTAGCGGTTCCTTGCAATGGTCATGTAAAGGACCTTTGGATCAACCCCCAAATGTGCTTAGTTGTTCACGCTTTGCGCTTTAAACCAGGAACTAGTAGGAGGAAGTGGCTCAATTTGTTTGGTGCCTCAACTGTGTTGTCATGGCCTGTGCACGCTCGCCTCTAGGATTTGCTGTGTGTGTGCTTCCTTGGGTCAAACGCAAGACTGCCCATGAACGCAGTGGCTCATCCTCTGTCCAACAAGCAGCACGTGCGGGGGCAACAAAGCAAACGTGCCACTACGCGAGGCCTTGACGACCTCCATTGTGCTAGCGGAGCCCAAGGACAGCTATGCAAGCGATCATTGCAGGTGTGGACAAGCTGTGTTGAAGCTATCCCGCCATTCCGTGATCCCATGTTTGTCATGCAAGAGTGGTTTGCCATGGGGATTTTCGCGGGACATGGTTGCAGGGGACTTCAAGCAATTGTGCCAAGGAAGCCACATGGGTGTATGTGTGTGTGTGTGCGCGTGTGTTTTTGGAGACCCCCAACATGGTGAATGTCCTTTTGGTTTTCCTTTGAACCAACCTTGCAAAGGGTACCCTCAAAAACTAGCCACGCAGACATTGATAGCTACGTGGCTGCTACGTCAATCGCGCTAAGCAAGGATGGGACCGTGATCAGCTCGCGCAGGAGAAGCCACCCAGCAAGCAAGAGATTGTGCTGGTAGGCGGGGAAAATGTGTCGCATCTGGGCCATAAGGCTAGGCTTGCGTATCCAGATTGTTGCTCCATGGAGCGACGGGAATTCGGCAAAAAGCAGTGTTGGAGGAAGCTTCATTTGCTCAGGAATTCTGTGCCATGTAGAAAGATGTGTGAAGGGGATCGCGAGGTGCTTGCGTGAGACACGAGAAGCAACATCCAGAGAGCTATCATATCCGTGATGGCAACCCTTGGCCAAGTAACTGAGTGAAGATGAGCAGAAGGCCCAAGCAATCGGTCATGCGGATGGGTCAGCATCCCAGCCGACGCGACCTATGTTGAGCCGACCAGGCAAGGAGCACGCCATCAAAGGAGCAGAGCATGACTGCCATGTTTCCCGGAAGCGCGAGGATGACGTGAGGATGACAGGTTTCCTAAGGTCTCGGAGAGGCCATGGGGAAGCGTTGCTCTGGACAAATATCAGGGGTAGGTGGACACATTCACATCTCAGGCCTTGTTTTGCAGGCTGGCATTCGCTCACATCAATCAAAATCAAACCACGAGGGGAGCGCTGGTTTTAGTTCTTGGTTCCATGTACCAGGGCAAGCCATTTTTGACCAATCGCCAATTCACAACCCGACCTTCGGGCGTTTGCTCCCCCGGGCCAGGGAGAAGAGGGAGCAGCTGAGGGCTGCAGCTGTGGCAGCCTCCAGGGAAAGGCGCTACATGGCGAGGGCGCCTAGGAAAGGAGCGTTGCTGGTTGCTGTTCTGCCTGCTTGTTCGCGCGCTTGTGTAGGGTGTGTGTGTGTGTGTTTGTTTGTTTGTTCGTTTTCAGTTGGTCGGGCGGGAGGGCGGGAGGGCGGTCGGTCGGTCGCGCGGGCGGGCGGTCGGTCGGTCGGTGGGTGGGTGAGTTGGTTGGCTTGCTGGCTGGCTGGCTGGCTGGCGTTCGATTGGTTGGTTGTATAATTTCATGGTTGCCTGGTCGCTTCGTTGCTTGGTTGTTTGTCTCATATGTATTGTTGTTTCTTCCTTGATTCCTTGATTGCTTCCTCCCTCCCTCGCTCCCTCTCTCCATTTGTTTGTTGTGTTCTTGCGTGACTATTTGCTTATTCATTTGTTTTGTTCTTTCTGCTGTTCCAGTTTTTATTTGCTTGTTTATGAACTTGTTTCATTCTCCGTTTCTGCCTTTGGATTCATTTGCTCATTTGCTCATTTGGTTTTACTGTTTTGGGTTGTTTTGGGTTGTTTTTGGCTGTTTGCATTTTTTTACGCTTTGGTTGTTCTTTGTGTCTTGGTTTTTTGCTGCGTTGTATCCATTGTTTCCATTTGTTTGTTTGCCGCTGGCTGGCTGCTTGCACTGTTCTTCCTGCTGTTCCTGCCCTGGCTGATCGTCATTTGCATTGAATCACCGTGGGTCGACTTGGGCCGGTTGGAGTGCCTGCACTCACAAAGCAGCCCGCAGTGTAGATGAGCCAACCAGTTGCAAAAACAGGGCCCAGGAAGTTTTGAGAAGCCAAGTCACTGGGTTTCATGAGCTATCGGCTATCCTGGGTTCTCATGCGTGCCATAAGGATGTCCTGGACTCGGCCATGCAGGCATACCAGGCGAGGCACAGGATGCGTCACAGCAGACTGGGAACCTCCAAATGGGTGTGTCTTTTTGCGCGGACCCCTTTGCTTGGGGCTGGTTTTAGGGAAACCAAAAGAAAAACCCAGCCATTTGTGGGGGTCCCCAAAAAAAGGGGACACCCATATCTGAAGGGCGACCTGCCAGCCACAAATGAGCACGCACTCGACAACAGAGCTGCGTTTGCCAACGTTAGCTCTCGTGGCTTAGCCAATGGTGTGTGGCACGTTGGGGACAAAGCAACTGCTCCTGACACTGATTTGTCCCACTTGCCATCTGCCGGCCTAGCACCGTTGAAGTCATTGAATTATTTGATTAGCTTGATTTGGCTCCTGCAAGGTGGACCTGCTTGACCTTTGAGGACGTCCAAAGGTGATGACATAAGTTGCTTTGATGTGGGTTTGGTTCTCACCGTTGCTGGCCTAAAGATGGGAAATGTGTGTGCGTTCCCTGGCCGTTTAACTGCCCAGCAACCCTACGTGGCTCATTAAAAGTGTGTCCTGCTTGCAATGAAGCTATTGTTCAAAGAGCGTTGTCGTTTGTGCATTGAAAGCTTTCGACCAACACCCTGTCCGGACACAATTTAACTCTGACATGCGCACAGGGAAGATTCGCTTGTTGGTGCCCAGCCATCCCCTTTAGGTTTCTTAGTTTTTGGGGTTTAGTGGTTGGGTTTCCGTTTTAGCCCGCTAAAAGTCAGTCGCATTCAGGAGTGGAGATCTAAAAAAGGGACAGCCCAGTTCGGTTAGAAGCCTTGGGTACTATTGGGAGGTCGGACAAAAAGTAGGGAGCCTTTCTTGCAAGTCCGTCACCGGCATGGAACGAGAGGGGAACGAGCGGTTCAAATCCATGCCGCCAGATGGGTGCTGCGGAGACGCGGCGACCCACCGCCGGCGAGCCGGACGTGGACCTGAACCAGCTGGTGGAGGCCGAGAGATTCGCCGGTGCAAAGATCCCAAAGACGCAAAGTCGATCTGGAGCAACCAACGAGCCAACCAACGAACCAACAAACCAGGCAACCAAGCAGGCAACCAGGCAACGAACGAACGAACCAACCAACCAACCAACCAGGCAACCAACCAACCAACCAACCAACCAACCAACCAACCAACCAACCAACCAAGCAACCAACCAGGCAACCAGGCAACCAGGCAACCAGGCAACCAAGTGAAAATTGTGTCACTGTGTCCAAGCCACTGGCAATCTCGAAGAGCCAGTGAGCCAGGACGCCTGGTCGGGATTAGTTGGGGCATGTGATGTTGGGCGCAGATTTCTCAGATTTGCTTTGTGTGGAGTGTTTTCAAACTGTTACTCAGAGCGTTTGGTTTGGTCAAGTTAGACAGTTGTTGCCATGATCCGCAAGCCTGAACAGCTGTGCTTATAATTATACTTCTCCAAGGCCGCTAGTTTACAAATACAGGACTGGATTATATACAGTTTAGCAGCCAATAGGGAACCCAATCCGGTCTTGGAGACCTTGCATATCAGCGCCCACCTTGTGCGGCCTGGCTTCAGTATCCAAACTGCGACCGTGGGGGTGCGTGGGCCAGTTGTTGCTGCTGGCACGCGCGACGCATGTGGCCGGCGAGCATGCATCAGGCCTGGGCTTTCTGGCATGCGATTGCCTGGCAATGATGTTGAACTTGGTGATTCCCAGCCATCCGGTTCACTTTAGGTGTTTAGGTGTTTTGGTTTTGTGATGGTGTCCGTTTCACCCAGAGTCAGTCACATTGGATCTGAAAATGGGCAGCCCAGCGAAGAGCCAGGTAAGCACCGTACTTTGACCCCGAAAAGTCATTGTCCCGATGCTTGCATTTCTGAACCCATAGTTGGGCACGCAAACATTCCTTCGCGTGCTTGCTCGGTCATGTTGCTTTAGAGTTGCACCCACGAAACACACAGTTTATGCAGAATAGAACGCGACTGGATATCATGGGGAGGGAAGGGAGGGGGAGGGGGACCAAAGTAGCTTCTATTATGCCCTTAGCAAGGCCTACACAAGCCTACCAGACGCTACGTCCGTTATGCGCTTCGGTGATCCATGTTGCCTTCGGAAAGGCCAGTGTTTCATACACAATTGGCGCCCATTCTTGACAAGTCAGTCATTCCAACTTCATAGGTCAGAATGATCAGAATGCACAGTCGGTTTACAAGTTGTTTGGAACGTTGCCACCTACAGACTCAGTTCTGGGGCGCTTCTTCCCGCTTGGAAGCGTTTCCTTGGGTGTGTCTTGTTGGAGGGCATCCTTGTGGGGTTGGTTTGCAGGGAAGACGAAAGGAAACCACCCAGTTTGGAAACCGGTTCCCCTATTTTGAGACATACCCAAAACAGCTTTGCGGGTAATATGGTGCAAAGTATCCTATGCAAACTGATTAGCTCTTGAGAGCAACCGTTTTTTGCCCCCAAGGGCTTAAACTCGATCATCTCCCGGGTGTTTTTTTCGTCGACCGGGTGGACAAAAAGCGGAAACCTGGTTGCACCTTGTAGCAGGCTTGAAGTACTTGGACCACTTGTCGAAGATGGTGGACAATCTCACTGGCGCCGATGGCGGGGGCCCCGGCTTTTGTGTCGTGTCAGGGAAGGACCACTGGCGCATCACGGAGACCTGTGACCTCAGCTTGAAGCAATGCAGGAGTTCAGCAGGCAAGTCCTCACGGGCAGATTGCGAAAAACAAAAATGTTCTGGTGTCATCAGTTCCCTTTTGGTTGCAAGTTGCTGCAAGAGCATTTTTTGGGGTATTTCCACAAAAGCTGGGCACAACTTGCTGTGTGTTGCCATGTGGCCATGGGTCAAAATCCAAAACGGTTAACCCTCAGTGGACCTCCCAATCCAACCACTAAGATAGGCACTAAAAAATGGGTGGTGAATTCACCTACCCATCAAAATGAGATCCCAAAACCGTTTTGACCACCACACGTAGGCAACCTGCCGATCTTCCATCCCTGCTCCGCGGCCACGCTGCTGCTGTGCACTGCGGAGCTCTTTACGCTCTTTGGCCAGCAGGCAGGGCGGAGATCACATGGCAGTGGTTGTCAAAACCGTTTTGGGATCCCATTTTGGGGTAGGTGCACCACCCATTTTACTCGGTCAAAACCAATGGTACCATTTTGGTTGGTAGATGAATTCACCACCCATTTTTCAGAGCCTATTTTAGTGGTTGGATTGGGAGGTTCTCTGAAAATGCGATTCGGATTTTGACCCATGGCCACATCGACGGAGGGCAACAACTCCTGTGGTGATCGGGTGTGTCTTTTTTGTGGGTGCCCTTTTTGGGGTTGGTTTGCAAGGAAGCCAAAAGGGAGACCAATATTTTGGGTTGTCCCTCAAAAGAGACATACCCAACAGAGCTGCTGGTTGTTAGCAAGTTAGAAGATGTGAAGCAAAAATTGGGGTCCCCGTTAGAAGTGAAATGATTCTTTTTGATCCAGCAGAGGTTCACATCAGTGGCTACTCATCAAGAGCTCAGGTTGCCTGGCAACCCCATAGATATCCCTCTATTTGTCCCGTGGTCTACTAGTCACGTGGCTGTGTTATGTTTGCTCCATTGTTTGTTTGTTTTTGTGTGTGTGTGTGTTTTTTTTGGGGGGCTCTAACAAAGGGGCGAGTCAAGTGAGCTGAAATGTTTTTTGTGTGTGTGTGTGTTTTTTGGGAGCCCTAAAGAAGGACAATCAAGTGCCCTGAGAGTAAATGTTTGTTGCTGTTGCTCGGGATTTGGACGTGTTCCCCTGACATGGACTGCCGCCAGGAACGCGCCGCCGACTACAGCCGGGCATACATCGCTATGGCACGTCTTGCGCATGGCGAGGCGGGTCTCAATTTGGACCCAAGAGTTGAGCCCATGAGTTGGCGCAGTTGGCTCGCAGAGGCGCATGGGCCTAGAAAAGAAAAGGGGAAAAGTTAAGCCCGTGCTTTGAGATGAGACTTGGAAGTGGCTGTGAGGTTACCATGTGCCCACCCTCACCAATGTAGAATGTGAGTGGAACCCTCCTTGTTCGAACCTGGCTTTGCAATCACAGATACAATCTTCGGTGGCCTGCCCCCTAGATTGCCAACAACACAATTGGACATATGACGAGAGGGAGAAGCGCGAGCCTCGCCAGCTTGTATGTGTGTGTGTGTGTGTGTTATCCGTTGCTGTGGGTGTGTCTTTTGCCCATCAGAATGTGCCCCTGTGAGCAGCCAGTTTGCTTGCCTGCATTGGAAAGTCAAAGTATCCTTGCATCAACTCATTGCTTTCCAGTCAGCATGTTCAGATTGCATGGGTGCCCAAACACAGACAACAAGAACACCGAGTGGCGCAGATGAGGGCTTTTTCGCGGAGTGCAGAATAAAACATTGCAAGGCCTCAGGATCCTGATGCCAGGGACAGTTTTCTTACTGGTGCTTATTGGGGAATGGGGGAATGAACCTTGGGATTCCCTGAAAGGAAACCCCATAGGGGAAGGTTTAGGGGTCATTCCAACTCATTCCCTGCATCTCTCGCACCAGCACGTTTTCCCGAGCGTTTTCAGAATCTGTTCAGCCGATTCGCTGAGCTTCAAAGGACTGCGGTGGTGGCACACCCACGCCACCGCGTGGAGTTTGAGCACCGCAGCGCTGGTCATACAGAAGCAGACGTAGCTTTATGTGTATGATTATGATCCCACCCTTAGCGACCAGTCCCATTGCAAGCGTTTTGGGTTGGAGCACACCAAGCAATAAGGACACCAACCCTATGTTCACCCCATCCACAAGCCATGCCACTCACCGGAGGGCTCTTCGGCGGTGGGCGACGCCTATGGCTTTCATGCAGCAGTCCTGGCCCGTGGGACGCTCAGACGGGCCGATGGCCACGCGTGCCATGGCGGACCATGTAGCTGCCAATGCAGAAAGTCCATGTTTTGAGGTGCCCACTGCGTGGGAGTTGCACAGATCAGAAGCCTTTCATGGCCAATGCCATGTTTGCAACACTGGGACCCCACAACAAGGTATAATGCAAAGGGCCAATTGATTGTTTGATTGCGATTGGCTTGATATAGCCTGTGTTCAGCACCCTATTGGCTTCATTCCTGGCCCTAAGCGGCAGAATTCGATGCAACGGAAGCACTCTCAGATTTGGATATGAACCCCAAATGATCGTTCGGTGTGTGGTTGTGCTTGTTTTTGGTTGTGTGTGTGTGTTTGCGCTGTCAGCAACTGAACTTTTCAAGCCACTAAGAGAAGAACAATGAGGGAATGGGTGGATCAAGAAGCAGTCAGATTCACTGACGCCCAAGTACAGAAGGCTTCTGTTTGACGTGTGTGTTTTTGAGGGTACCCTTGTTTGCTGCGTTTTTTATGGGAAGCCCAAAGAAAAACATAATGTTGGAGGGTTCCCTGAGAAAAGCCACCCATTTGGATCCAAGTTCCACACCATGTCCGCACGACTTTGCAAATTGAGGCAGAGGCAGCCTTGAAGAGGCGCAGATATCGGGAGAGATGAAGCGGCATCGACGGACGAAATCCTGCACCACCGTTCAAAAGCGCTTGAATGATACGGTTCCCCTGTAAATACCAACAAACACTGGTTTTCCCATGGTTTCAAAGTGGTGCAGGAGCTTTGTCCATCCACAGTAGGACCCAGAAGGGCGTGGTTGAAGCCGAGGCAAGGTTCATTGGCAGTGAAGATGTTGAGCCCAGAAATGATGCTTAAGTCTGGAAGCGGACTCCCTCCAACAATTTTGGAAGCTTCCCTTGAGCGCGGCTCCAGGTAGTGTCAGGTCTCCAGTGCACAACTAGGGGGAACGCATTTAAACGTAGATGTCACAATGAGTTGGGCAAATATGTTGTCTGATTCTGATGTGACTGATGGAAAATGAAAGACCAACATGGATGCGTGTCAAAACCAATGGTACCATGTTGTGGTAGCTGCACCACCCATGTTAGAACCTATTTTAGTGGGGACTGGTTGATGTTCACTGAAAGTCCGATTTGGACTTTGACCCATGGCGAAAATATCGGAAGCAAACGATCAATGTGTATTTTTGGGCATGCCTTTTTTTCAACCTTGGACCCTTTTGTTTCAACCTTAAGCTTTTTTTTCTACCTTGTTCCCTTTTTTTTTGAATTTCAGGGTCGGCACTTCATGTTTTTTCAACCTTGCCACACTTTTTGTTCACCTTGTTTTTTCTCTGAATCAACCTTGATTGCATTTTTTCCAACCTCCCCACCTTTGTTTTCCGCCTTGATTCCTTCTTTTCGAGCCTTCCCATCCCCTCAACGGGGCATGGCCCGTCACCCCCCTTCCCCTGCACCTTTTTTCTCTTCGCAAGTCTTCCCCTGCGCCGGGTTCCTTTTCAGCCTGGAAGCTACCCCCTTCGCAGGGCTCTATCCCCTTCGCGGGGCTCTATGCCCTTTGCGGGGCTCTTTCCCCATCGCGGGGCTGCATTCCCTTCGCGGGGCTCTTCCCCTTCGCAGGGCTCTTTCCCCTTCGCGGGGCTGCATTCCCTTCGCGGGGCTGCATTCCCTTCGCGGGCTCTTCCCCTTCGCAGGGCCCTTTCCCTTCGCAGGGCTCTTTCCCCTTCGCGGGGCGGCATTCCCTTCGCGTGGCTTTCCCCCTTCGCGGGGCTCTTTCCCCTTCGCGGGGCTGCATTCCCTTCGCGGGGCGCTTCCCCTGCGCGGATGTTTTTTTCTTCGCAGCGCTCTTTCCCCTTCGCGGGGCTGCATTCCCTTCGCGAGGCTCTTCCCCTTCGCGGGGCTCTTTCCCCTTCGCGGGGCTGCATTCCCTTCGCGGGGCTGCATTCCCTTTGCGGGGCTGCATTCCCTTTGCGGGGCTCTTCCCCTTCGCGGGGCTGCATTCCCTTCGCGGGGCTCTTCCCCTTCGCGGGGCTCTTTCCCCTTCGTGGGGCTGCTTTCCCTTCGCGGGGCTCTTCCCCTTCGCGGGGCTCTTTCCCCTTCGCGGGGCTCTTTCCACTTCGCGGGGCTGCATTCCCTTCGCGGGCGTGCATTCCCTTCGGGCTGCATTCCCGTTTGCAGGGCTCTTCCGGGGCTCTTTCCCCTTCGCGGGGCTGCATTCCCTTTGCGGGGCTCTTTTTGTTTGCGGGGCTCTTCCCCTTCGCGGGGCTGCATTCTTCCCCTTCTTTGCGGGGCTCTTTCCTTTTGCGGGGCTCTTCCCCTTCGCGGAGCTCTTTCCCCTTCGCGGGTCTCTTTTCCACTTCGCGGGGCTGCATTCCTGGGATGCACCGGGGGTTTGTTAGAGTTAGTAGGACATTGGGGCAAAGATTTAATTTTTATTAACAAATGCTCACTAGATAGCTAAGGGCTTAAGTTAGGGGGAAAGCTAAGAGGTTAGCCAGGGGTTAGCTAAGTGGTTAGCTCAGTGGTTAGCTAAGTGGTTAGCAAAAAAACATACTAGGTTTATTACATTTGGAGTGATGGTCAAACATATGATTTATTGTTTATTTATTCTGGCTTGTTGGCATCAATTTGTTTAGACTCGCCAGAGCATTTTGAGAAAATAGATAAAGGCTTTGGCAGTGCTGCTCATCATTATGCAAATCAAAGCTGAGCATGTGCATTTATTAAAATGGATAAGCCATATGAGCTCATGATACAAAAGCTCATGCGTGACCAGTCAAGGCAAGCTCATACTGCTCATAAGCACTATTGATGGATCATAAGCCAGGTGGCTACCACGACATGCAATCTTCATGGAACATGAGCCAGATGGCTACCATGACATGAATTTCATTGCGTGTGTCAGCACCATCTTGGTTGTAAGTTTAAGCCCGGCTGGCTACCAAGGACCTGCTCATCCAACAAGGCTTCACCATTCCAGTTAACTGTTTGCAATGAAAGCCAGAGGTTCAGTACTCACATGGGACCTATATACTGTCAAGCTGAGGAAAGTTCATCAAACAAGAAGCCTTGATGCTTGACGATAAAGCAAAAGCAACTTGGCAAAGCCATGGCCATGGCAACAGTAGCCTGAAGGCCTAGCACTTTACATGGCTTGCATGCACAAAAGCCAAGCAAACACCAAGCTTGAATGACTAGCCCTGTGGTTTGCTGACAAGCAACTGACAAGCAACCATTAATTTGTTCAATCCATTCAGCCAACACGCGCCCACCTAGTGCGAAAGCGGTCAAACCCTTTTTGTCCTTGATGCAAAAGGCTGCAAAGTGCGCATGTCAAACTGTACAACTCCTACACATGACATCTTAGTTCACATGTTAAAGAGTTCAAATGCATGACTTCTATAGTCAACCTGTAGCGTATTGGGTCTTACTATGGTACTGGGTATTTCTACCATATGGAATGCAGATTCCTTGCACCCCCCTTGGTAGAAATGGCATGCCATGCTATGTGGCTCGGGATTCAGCCACAAAGCTGACACTTCTGAATTGATCGCACTCCCTTGCGACCTGAGATGGCTCCACAGCCAACATCCAAGTGGAACCTATCTCCTGTGCGTGACAAAATCACAGACTCAATCTTCTGGATCTTTTCGTGAAACTTCCTGCTCTGCCAGGTTCGACCTAGCTGGAACAGTCCAACACTGCAGACGCATAGCACCATACTGATGTTGAGAGCCAAGCTAACAAACAACAGCTTAAGGTACCAATCTGCGGTGTCACCCGCAACACTGTGTGCCACCTCCATCCTTGACGTAAGGTGTCACCCTTTTGTTGCGTTGCACACTACTGTGGTCCGCGCGCAGGCTGAGCTTTGAGCCCATGAGTGGTTTCCACGGTTTGCACGCGTCCGGTGTGTTGTCCGTCTGTGCATTGACTGTACTCACACTCATCATGCCGTGTTTTGAAACATGTTTGTCTAAACCTGCCTGAGTCAAATCAACAATGCCAAGTCTCTCACGCGCAATCCTCAGGTCTTTTCCTGTCACCAAATGCTTCGTGAGCGCGTCCGCGGGGTTCTGCTTCCCGTCAACCTTCGCGATCACAACCTGCTTCTCTTTCACGAGTTCCTGGATGTACAAATGCCCTACAGCAAGATGTCGCATCTTTCCTGCTCCTAATTTCTTTGCTGCTTGCAATGCTGCACTTGAGTCACACCAAATCCTGGGTATTTCTACTTCCATTCCAAAATCTTGTTCACAGAGATTCTTCACATGCACTGCCGATTGTGCGCAACGCGTGAGACTTCTGATCTCCGCCTCTGCACTGCTCGTCGCTGGAGTTCCTTGCTGCGTGCGACTGCCTGTCTCAATCACAGTCCCTCCTAGAACTAACACTTCTCCACTTGTGCTCTTTCTGCTTTCCTCGTCACCAGCCCAATCTGAATCACAGTATGCATGAACTGGTACTGGATGGTGTCGGTCCACTCCACTTGCCAGTGTCGTGGTGTGTCCACATTCCAGTGTCCCTTTCAAATATCTGCCGAGTGTTTTGAGATTCTGCCAGTCACATAGTCGAGGGTTTCGAATCCTCTTTGCTAGTTCTTTCACTGCAAACTTGATGTCACTGCGATCCTGTGAAAGGTAAATTGCACTGCCCACGCAACTTGCATAGGTTTCCCTTTCAGCTGCACTTAGCTCCTGGTCCTGCTTGAGGTCGAGCTTCTTTCCTGGTACTGGGCTAGGTTTGCAATCCTCCAGTCCAAGTGCCTTCAAAATGGTTTGCGCATGCCTCTCATGTGGCTTTGTGATAATAGCCCCCTCAACATTAATTTTGGTTCTTCCCAAAAATTCGGAGCTGACTTTACTGCCAACATCAGGGAATTCCAAGTGGCCCATTTTGAGCTTGCAACCATTCCCCGGAAATTGAACAGTAAGCAAATCAATCGTCGATGTGGTCCACACATATCAAAATCGTCGATGTGGTGAATGAGAACGGTTCCGGTGAGTTCACACCGATACACACAAGCATCTAGTTTGCCCCTCTTGAACCGGTATCTCCCGGAAACCTTGTTGGTGAGCATCTCCTCAGGTCGATCCCGGTATTGAGCTGCTGCAGATTGTCTTCCATAGATGTTGCCATCAACCTGCCAAATGAGCTCCTCACAAGGTACGTCTTTGAGGTTCTCCTGAATTTCCTTTTCCTGGCTCAAAATCCAGGTGTCATATTCTTCAAGCCATTCCTTGGGTGGCCTCATGAAAACAGGTTGTCCCTGCTTGTCACCTCCATCTTTGGCAATCAGGAACGCTGATGTCAAATCTGCCTTCACACGTGGAAATTGATGCAACAAACTGTAAACTTCAATGATCTTGCATGTCACTGAACTAGTGTCGGACAGAAATTCGTGCCCTGCGAGGAGCTGAGTCGTTCCTCAGGGCTCTGCTTCTTCTTGAAGTCTTGGCACGTCAACCTTGCTTTGCAGATTCCTTCGGACACTTTGTCAACCCATCGGTGTCCAAACACTGTCAAGTCCTTTGGCAATTCGCGTCTGTCTCTCACTGTGAATGCCTTGAATGTTTGCTCAAGTTTCCTAATCTCATCAAGCCGTGCCTTCTTCATATCTAGCATGATGCTGTCCATCCAATCCATGACATTTGCAATGTTCTGCAAACTTGCCTGTTCCCTTTTCAAATATGTCTCAAAAGTGCTCTCAACAGTCTCCAAGTCTTTCTCTAAACCATGATTCTCTCCAAGACGCTCTTTTACCGCATTCTCCCTGCAGCAATCAAACGCGTTGATCACATCACCTTGGGCGATGTTCGAAATCATGTCTTGTGTCACTACGGAAGGCGCCGTGCCCGGAGGCGATGGCAATTGCCTGGCCTTTGGCGCTGCAACCTCCTTGCTTGCTGAACCAGATGAGCTTGAGCTTTCACTCTCCGAGTGAACTCTGTAGTGTGCGGCTTTCCGCTTCGTCGACGGAGAACGTTCCGCCTCAGCTTCCATCTGCTCAGAACTTTTCTCAACGCTCTCTCTAACCTTTGCTTTCTTGTCGCCGTGCTTCCCGGCGTCAGGCGTAACTTCTTCTGCCCCTCTTGTCTTCTTTGTCTTCTTTTCTTCCGGCGGCCCGTCCGGATCGATGCTGCGCCCGGAGATTTTCGGCGCTGGCACAAACACCGGCGGTATCTCCCGCTCACGTGGCGCAATGTCACCCGCGGATCCCGACCCTCTAGTTACTTCTGTTTCGAGGATGGGTTCCTGCAGTTGTCTCACGTCTACTTTGGAGCGGATGCCCTCTGGCTTCGCCTTCTCGATGCCTTCCACAGTGTTCCAGGGTGCACCTCTTGCCTGTTCAAGAACGACCAGCTGATGCTGTGAGCCCAGCGGTAACCTTCTCACTGTGCGGAAAGTGTCTGCCCCTGCTTCTGTGAGGATTATGTGCTCGTCCAACTGCGTTGTCTTTCCAGCATAGATGCCTTTCACCCATCTGGAGTCGCTCTTCGCCCTGTCCTTCACGTTGGGGTACTTTGCCATGACGGTCTCGCCCATCGGCAAGAGTTCTCCCAGGTAATCATGTCCCTTCAAGATCCTGTGCGCCGTCGTCTTCGTCTTGTTCACGTGAAACCTCTCCATGCTCCACGAAACGTGCCTCACGATCCATGGAAACAACACGTGGCCAATGTCAATGTCATCGTTGCCGTACCTTTCTCGCAAATCAACAAGCCATGTCCTGATCTTTCCGGCTATCAGTCCGTTCACCATCTCCCCAGAGCCCAATGAAGCCGAACTGTACCTGGGTGATTTACGAAGCTGCACCTTGTCATTGCCCAGCTTGTCCTTCACCTTTTCGTACAGATGGTTCAAAGAGTTCTCTTGGTCTGTGTGGATGGTGACCTTGTCCCAACCCAAGTCTTTGACCCAAGCCGAGATCGCTCCCACTGCGTATGCTGCCCCGCCTTTGCTTGGAACAACAACAGCAAATGGTGCCTGGCTGTCCTGGTCAGTTGCTGTCAAAACTGTGACCAGCTCCTTGTTCTTCTTTTGAGCCTCGGTTGGCTCACTGACCTTCATTCCTTCTTTCGTGAAGAACATGTAGTCCGAGTAAACCACGTGTTCTTGCTTTTCCTTCTTGTTCCTCCTGTGAGGTTTCTCTCTACCTTGTCCTGCCACACAACTAGGACACCATGGCTCATAGTTGGCATGATGCACTCGGTGTTGTTCTAGCTCCTCCATCGAAGGTGCATCTGGAACTTCAACCATCTGAGCTTCTGGCCTCTCTTCTCTCACGCCTTCAGAAAGTTCTTTCAGCTCCTGCAAGGTCATGTCATCTGTGATTTCCTTGTCTTCCTTGGCTGCTTGATCTGCATCGAAGTACAGCGAGTCCGCATCTTGTTCTGCACGAAAGTATCTCTCTGCTTGCTTCCTTCTTCGTGCCGCTTGTGCCGCATTTTCTTCCTGACTGACCCTCTCAGCATCCATGTCAACTTCTGGCCTGATTTCAATCGATGTCTCTCCTTGCCAGTGAACTTCACTAGCCTTGCTCGATCCCCTGTCAACCCATCTGTCCTCAACAGTGTCTCGTTCAGCGTTTGTGAACGTCCTGTATGTCACCCTGTGATCAAACAGTCCATCTACGCCAACTGGGCAATTGGTGAGAACTGGATTGAACAGCTGTCTGCGATGCATGTTGTGAACTCGCACCATGAAGCGTCTACCAGAGACTTGTTCAAATTTCCATCTGTCAGGATCTGGCGCTACCGGTGCTACCCGTCTTGTGGTTAAACGGTGTTCCCCGCGAGGCCGCTTTTCAACCTTGAGATACCATCGCTTGCCATGCATTTCCAGAGGGATCTTCTCATGTCCTGTGTCTACAAAACATCCCTGGCTTGAGAAGTTGACGTCATACCCCTTGCTGACCAAACTATGCACACTCACAAGACTCTCAGCTGCATCCGTCACGGTCATTTCAACTTGGCCTCTCATACTGCCTACCTGCACTTCAGGATACTGTTTGCCATAAACTTGCAATGGGGTTCCTTGCACACTGAAAAGCGGTTTTGCAAGTCGACTGTCAACTGGGCTCTCAAACTCTCCTTTCCTAGCAACACTCTCGCAAGCTCCAGAGTCAACCAACAAGGAAACATGTGAAGGATCCGAGCTGCAAGCCGACACGTGTTGCTGAACATTGTTGATGGTGAAGATCACATCTCCTGCAATCGCTCCAACTCCACCTGAGCCACCAGTTGATCCTTTGTTGTCAGGGTCAATTTGCTCTGCATTCTCAACACTGCCAACTTTCCACCAACAGTCTGCAGCAATGTGACCATGCTTCTTACAAACATGACACTGTTTGCCTGCGTGTGGGTTGCTCACATTTCCTTTGCCTTTCCCATTGTCCTGTTTGCCTTTGGCATTTTGACCTTTTCCTTTTCCTCTGTCCTGCTTGTAGTACTGCTGGTAGTACTGGCCTTTTCCACCTTTCTTCTGCCAATCGTCTTGATGCCAGTTGTTCTTGCTCGACTTGTTGTGCTCGCCTTTGGATTTTCCTTTGTGGTCTTTCCCTTTTCCACCTTTCTGATCACGTCCTTTTCCACCTTTTCCTTTGTGGTAGTTGTCCTGCAACGCACCGATGTCCATGGGTGTTGGTCCATCTTGAGGTGGTTGATCAACTTTGTTGGCAACCTTCGTAATTCCAAAACTGGATCCTTGCGGTCTCTTCCACAAGTTCTTGTTAATGAGATACTGCTCGATGTAGTCTCTAATCTTCTGGTAGGTATCCAAAGCGTCTGCTGAAGTTCCTTCGGAGAAACATGAGCCAGAATAGAAACTTTCTCATCCTCTGAAAACGGGTTTTTGAATTGCTTCTCAAACTCTCTGAGTTCAGACTCCCACTGATGAAGAGCTGAGCTCCACTGCGTGATGTCATTCGGGAAGTTGGGATTCGAAAGATGTCGTCTCCAGACCCATGCTTTTGTCCTGTAGGAAGGTTCTGACATCTTCACCAAGCGTCTCCACACTTCAAAGCCGTTGGTGCCTGTGGTTCCTTGGCCTATCACATTCATGGTTGATTCAGGGCAATACTGAACAAGAAACGTGTAAAGCGCCTGTGACAACTGAATTTCATCATCAGACAATTCAGTTTCTTCAACAGGAGTCTTACCCGAACCAAACCTGTCAAGCAAATCCGGAAAACTTGCATGAACTGTTGAAAGCCAAGCCACAAAATGTGCCTGAATTTCTCCCACTCTTCTTTCTTGCCGCTATAAATTGGTGGTTTGGGAACATGCCGTGGGTCTATCAATGTGTTCACGCGCGTTGTCTGTGGCGCGTGCACTGCAGTCGTTTGCGCTGCCATCTGTTGTATCACGGTTTCCTGAGCCTGAAGCCTATCCTCAGTTTGCCTGAGTCTCTGAGTTTGGCTCTCATACCCCTGATTTGCCCTTCGGAGAGCTTCCATCAGGTTTGACTGTTGCTGTACAAGCTCATTTATCTGCGCTTGCATTTGCTCTGCACTAGCCATTGCTATTTACAAAACACACGTGCAAGTGATTTTCCAAGATGCACAGTCACAACTGTGCGGTATCACCCGCTCTTCTTTTGGCCACCAGATCTCCACGACCAATCGTCGTAGGTGCTGGGTGCCCAACTCCACGCGGTTCCCGAAGCTCCTGACCAGCTGGAAGCCCAACTGTACGAACTCGCAGAGCTTTCGCTGTCCGCGTAGCTGCTGTTTGCGTCCGTGTCCTGCCTGTTTCCGTTCTGGTTCACCTCCGCTGCCTGGTCGCGGTTGGTGTCGAGGTCCTCTCGTTTGTCCTGAGGTGTCCACTCCTCGATCGGATCTTCGTCGTCCGAGTACCACACAGAAGTTGCTGGGTGCGTGGTGCTCTCTATCACCGAGTAGTTCGCTTCCGACTCTCTTACCGTCGGCGGTATTTCGAGAGTCTCAAGACCTGGCCTTGACGAACTGCTCGCCTCTTCCGTTGCCAGTGGCCCAAGCCCGCGAGAGACCCTGTTCTTGGCAATCTCCCGCACGTAGGATTTCCGAACACTAATGCCCGGATTCTTCTCGAAAAGCTTTGCTAAGCCTGGATGCTTGCCTCTGAACTTCTCGAAGGCGTTCTTCGCCGCACCGTGCACTTTCTGGTGGGTCTCGAAGCCCTTGACACTCGTGCGGTCGTTCAGGAAGCCGGAGCCCTCGATCTGCTCAGCCTCCTCCGGGATGCTCTGCAAAGCGAGCGCTTCCCTGGCCGTGAGGTTCTCGACCCTTGGTGCCTCCACAAAGGTGTTCGGCTCTTCCTCGTTCTGTAGCAGACGTTCGCACCGCCTTGCCACTGACCTATAAAGTCTCTTCTCGAGCGCTGCTGCGCTCCTCTTGCGGGCGTCCTTGCCCTTTCCTTTGCCGCCCTACCGGTTGCCCGGAGCCGCTGTTCCCGCGCTGCTACTGTCGCAGCTGCGGTATCACCCGCTCACAGAACGGTGTTACCCGTGGAACCGGTCCTGGTCCTCGACGGCGAGTTCCAGGAAACCAGCTCCGCTACCATGCGAAAGCAGTCAAACCCTTTTTGTCCTTGATGCAAAAGGCTGCAAAGTGCGCATGTCAAATTGTACAACTCCTACACATGACATCTTAGTTCACATGTTAAAGAGTTCAAATGCATGACTTCCATAGTCAACCTGTAGCGTTTTGGGTCTTACTATGGTACTGGGTATTTCTACCATGTGGAATGCAGATTCCTTGCACCTAGCCCTCAACGGGATAAGAACTTTGCATTCGCAATTGTGGCGCGCAGCATTTGTGATGTTTTTACGATGGCTGCTTGGTCAGTTGGCTTGCAAACAGCACACCAGGTTTTGTTTTGTCCTTTTGTATTTCTTCACAACTTGACACTCAGCTGTACATTTCACAACCAATGCTGGCATGGATGTGGGCTTGTCCAACTTGGACATGGCCACCATGCTCTTCGATAAGCACTACATCATCTTTAGAGCAATGGCCTGCTGGTTGCAGGTATACACACCCACACATCTTCCTGGTCAAAGTGGGACTGTTGAAACTTCTGTATGTTGTTGGTGGGCTTCTGAGAGCACAAATAAATCATGGCAAAGATTTCCTGCAGTGTTGGATATGGTCTGGCCGTACATCTTCACAATCTTATGCTTCCTCTCTTGGACTAAGCAGCTGGGTAACATGTTGTGGACACAGAGGTGGGCTGCCTGTCAGTGCACCAATGAAGCTTGGTGGTCAGAATGGATATCGATTGTCAAACCCAGAAGGTCTTGCGTAGCTGCTGGGGCAAGATTATGGTGCAGAACCTATGGGCATTGGCTGCAAGGACACGCCCTCACTGGCAGTGCGTTTGAATGTTGTAGCCTTGGCATTGGCTTGAAAAACGCATGCAAGAATCTATTTCCCAAAATGTGCTTTTTGGCAGCAAGCCACATGCCACCAGGCTAGCCACATGGCATGAAGTCAAGCCATCAGGCTAATAGCAACGCAGTCAAGCCGCCAAGCCACCAGGCTAATGGCATGGCAGTTGCCAATGTGAAACCTTGTGCGGGTAGCCATTTGGGATACAGCGCGTGCCAGCTTGACACAGCCTACATGTACGACAGCCCATGATTTGGTCAAGCCTGTTTTGGCTACCCATGTTTTCATTGAAACACAGTAACTGTTTGGGATGTGAGCCAGCATGCAAGCACAGCCAAGCCAACAGGTGCAGAGCGGTTCCTATCTGTGAGCTCATCCCACACCAGCCAGTTCATCAAAGCAATTGTTGCTGGAGCTGTCACTGACCAACCATCCCTCAAAGGACCAGATGGCCATTTGAACCCAGTGCTGCTCAGACAGGACAAGACTCTCCACACTATGGTCACAGTAGGCTGGAGCTGGACCAGTATAGCAGCCCATGTGGAGGAAGCATTCCCCAGGCTACCATCACTCATTGAAAAGGCCAACAATTCCTGCACATTTGCCCACCAGAACAAGGTTGAGCTCATGGCCAGCTTGGTGGACCATGTATCCACAAGTGCTGAAGCATCCCTGGCAGCCTTTGCCACGGGGACATGTACCAGCCATACGCTGCCACCAGCTGGCGCAGAAGCGCCGTGTTCTCTAGCGAGCACTCACACACGACCGACACCAGACCAGTGTGGGCTTGGCGCTGCCGGTTGACATGCAAGCTGCTCACCGGCAGCGCGAGCTCCAGCGCCCGCGCGGTCCACCCGCTCGGCACGTTGGTGACGTACCAGCGTGCGGCCATTGGCGTGAGCCCTTTTGAGCCAAACACATCGCGGCAGCAGGAGCCAGCTGGGCATGCAAGCTAGAGAAACAAACCGGATGTCACACGCAAGCTATAGAGAAACAAACCTACAGTTCCGAAAAAAAAGCGAGACTTGTTTTTTGTCTTATAAGCACGAATCAGGGTCGCTCTCCGTGGGGTCGTGCGCTGCCTAGACCTGCAGCTGGTTTCTGAACGTGA